CTCCGTCCCGTCCCACCGCCGTCGTTCCCACCGTGACCGCTAGGGGGGCGCCAGAGCCCGGCAGGGCCGCGGGGGGCGTGGTCTCACCGCCTGTGGGCGTGTCCTTCCTTCTGTGGGCTCACGGTCTGTGGGCGTGGTCTCACAGCTACGGGCGTGGCCTTCAGCGTGGGCGTGGCCTTGGTGTCCCCGCGGGGCCGGGGCGGAAGCGGAAGTGACGCGCGGGGCGCGGCGCCATCGCTGTCATGGCGGGCAGGGGGGGCCGCCCGGGTCCCCGAGCGGTGAGTGCGGCCCTGCCCGACCCGGCCCGGCCCTGACCCACCGCGGTGGCCACGTCACTGGGAGTCGTGGGCGAGGGAGGGGAGAGGGGTGATGGTCTGCGGGACAGGGAGTTTAAGGGTCCGCGGGCGTGTGAGGGTCGCTGGGTCTGGAAGGGTTGAGGGTCCCGGGCAGGGGGAGTTGGAGGGTCTCGGACCAGGGGGGTTGAGAGTCCCCGGGCCAGGGGGAGTTTGGGGGTCCCGGATTTGAAGGTCGGGGCAGTTTGAGGGTCCTGGGCCTGAGGGGGTCAGAGGGTCCCCAAGCCTGGGGGCGTTTGAGGTTCTCAGAGCAGGGCGTGTTTGGGGGTCCTGGGCCTGGGGGATTTGAGGGTCCTGGGGCCAAGGGAGGGTCTGAGGGTCTCCAGATCTGGGATATGTTTGAGGGTCCCGGGCCGGGGGCTGTTTGTGGATCCCAGGCCCGGGGTCTCTCCCTCAGTTTAACCCCCCCCGTGCCCGGATCCAGGTGGACAGACTACATCCCCCTGGGCAGGAGGATGCCAGGAACCCGCTTCATTGCCTTCAAGGTGCCCCTGAAGAAGGTGAGGGACCCCAAGGGGGCTGGGGGGGCATTGGGGTTGGAAAGGGCCCTGGGAAAGGGGCACTTTGTGGAGATCCAGGGAGTGAATTCCTGATGAACACAGTGCCAGAGCCGCATCTGGGGAGTGGGGGCTGTGAGGGGTCCCTGTGGCGCAACAGACCCACCTGAAACACACCCGGGGTGAGTCCAGGGGGGTCCCAGAGCTCGTGGTGGGGAGCAGGGCTGGGTGTTCACCTGGCACAGGGGGGAGAGTCGGGTTGGGGAGCTGGGAGAGCTCAGCCTGGAGAAAAGGAGGCTCAGGGGGGACCTTCTGGCTCTGCAACTCCCTGACAGGAGGGGGGAACTGGGGGGGGGTCGGGCTCTGCTGCCAGGGAACAAGGGACAGGAGGAGAGGGAACAACCTCCAGCTGTGCCAGGGGAGGGACAGGTTGGACATTAGGGAAATTCCTTTATGGAAAGGATTGGTTAAACACTGGAACTGCCCGGGGAGGTGGTGGAGTCCCCACCCCTGGAGGTGCCCAGGGAAGGCCTGGATGTGGCACTCCATGCTCTGGGCTGTGGGGGATCAGTCACAGGGTGGATTTGATGATCTTGGAGGGTTTTTCCAGCCTCAGTAATTCTGAGATTCCATGGATCTGAGCTCAGGGACCTGGTTTACAGCTTCCACCAAACAGCACCTTCGGTGTCTGGGGGTGTCTCTCACTGTGGTTCTGCCTCAGGGGAAAGTTTTTGGTGACTTTTGGAAGCCCACAGCTGAGCTGTTCCAAAGCCCAGCCCTGCCCATGGCAGAGGTGCAGCTGGATGAGCTTTAAGGTCCCTCCCAACCCATCTCCTTCCCTGATTGGACCCAGTAACTCTGTGTCCACCTGCCTCAGCCTCTGCTCCTTCCCCAAGTCCTTCTCCCTCATCTCCTGGAGTTCTGGAGCAGGAAATTCTTCCCACCCCTCACACACACTCCAGTTTAATGTCTGCTCTGAAACATGATTTCCCCTCAGAGTTTTGACAGGAATCTCCTTCCAGAGGAGAGGTTTTCCCCTCGTGACCTCATCAGGAAAGTCAGGGAGAGGAAGGAGGAGCTGGGGCTGATCATCGACCTCACCTACACCAGGCGCTACTATGGGCCAGAGGTGAGTCTGGGGGGGCTGGGAACGGGCAGGATTTGCTTCCAGGAGAAGAACTGGAAGAGTGTGAGGCACTGGAATCTCTGACAGGGGATGAGATGAACCATTGCAGCCCCATGGGGGTCTTTGTCCTTGCTCAGGTACCACACTGGGGTCTCCAACCCCAGACCAACCAGCACAAGTTTGGGGATACCCTAAAGCTGCTTTTATGGGATCTCCTGATTGCAAACAGCTCTGAGTGTGTGGATAATTGCTTGGAAAAGTGTTCCAGCCTCTGTGTGCCCTCCCCAGGGAGGAAAGAGAGGCAGAAAAAATAAAGTGGAATTTTGGTGCCATGTCAAAGGAGTGAAGCAGAGCTTTTCTTATCTAAAACTGTGTTACTGCTCTTTTAGGCTCAGTTGAAAGTTTCATTTTCTGGCTTCTGGTTCATTAATAATAAAAAAATCCATATGCTTTTTCTGGAAATTACGGACTGTGCTTCTTGCAGGAGCTCCCAGCCACACTCTGCTACTCGAAGATCCTGACCATGGGACACGAAATCCCAAACAAACAGACCATTTTCCAGTTCAAATGTGTGGTAAAGCAGTTTCTGAATGACAACAAAGACAATGGTGAGTGTGGGTTTCCCTGGTGTTCTGGTACTGGGGTGGGCCAGTGGTGTTTTAAGGAACAGCAGGAATTTCTTTTCCTTCCCTTGCCGTGGGAATGTCAAGGCAACAGGTTGGATTTGTTTTAGGGATGGAATTCCTGTTGTCCCTGATAATCCAGGCCAGGTTGGACAGGGCTTGGAGCAGCTTGAGACAGTGGTAGGTGTCCCTGCCCCTGTCAGGGACGGGCACTGAAGGGGCTTTAAAATCCTTTCCAACCCAAACCATTCCATGATTCTGGGATAATTGGGCAATGAGTGAAACTTTAATTGAGTTTGAGTCATGGGACTGTACCAGAAGTAAGGAGTTCTATCAGGGCTGCTGGTTAGACATAATAGACATAAATAAAATTAGACATAATAAATACAGTAAGTAAGTAAGAGAAGGTAAAAATAAATATTAATAAATAAATTAAACTTAATTAGACATAAATATCGTGATGTAATATTGTGTGTGCCCACTTCTGTGTCTGATGGAGGGTTAATGCAGAGGGGCTTGTTCAGGGGGAATTTTGGGGAAAAGACACTTAAATATCCTCTGATTTGTGTGTTCCAGACAAACTCATCGGGGTTCACTGCACCCATGGCTTGAACAGGACTGGATACCTGGTGTGCAGGTGAGTTGTCCTTATCACAGGGGGTTAAGTGGTGGCATTTCCAGGAGGAAATAATGCCAAGGAAATAGAGTCAAGTGGTCTGTGTAATCCCAGACTTCCTCAGTTTTTATTAGGGACACTTTTTATTCCAATTTCAGCACAGCAGATGCTGATACTCCAGTCTGGCATGTAAATAAAAGCTCTGCAAACGTCCCAGTTCTTTCTTCTGTTTGAATCATCACCAACCTGTGGATGTTTTCCTCGTTAATTGTGTGTAATTAGGGTTTTCTTGCTGCTCTGCTCAGGTACCTGATTGATGTTGAAGGCATGGAGCCAAACACTGCCATAGAGTGTAAGTGTGGGTTCTTGATTGGATGTGGGCTGTTTATTGGGATTTGGGATGGTCAGAAGGTTTGGGGTGGCCCCAGGGAGGGGAGCTGTGCTTGGTTGAAGGGGTTAAAATCCTTGTGAAGGGTTTTAACTGCTCTTCAGCCCCAAAGGTTGTAGCTCAAACCTGTCCCTCTCCAGTGTTCAACAAGTCCCGAGGGCATCCCATAGAGAGAACCAACTACATCCAGGATCTCAGGAACAGAGCTGGGAAAAAGTGAGTCCTGGTGTGTCCAGAAGTGAGTGATGGGCCCTGGGAATGCTGCTGGAAAGGAACAGGGGATAAACATGGATGGCTCCAGGAAGGGAGGTGGGACAGGCCAGTGGAGAATGGGCAGGGAGAACAGGACATTGGGAATGGTTTAAAACTCATGGATGGTGGGGTTAGGTGGGATATTGGGAAGGGATTCTTCCCTGGGAGGGTGGGGAGGGGCTGGGATGGAGTTCCCAGGGAAGCTGTGGCTGCCCCTGGATCCCTGGAAGTGCCCAAGGCCAGGTTGGAGCAACGTGAGATAGTGGAAGGTGTCCCTGCCCATGGCAGGGGGTGGCACTGGGTGGGCCTTAAGATCCCTTCCAACCCAACCCATTCTGGGATTCTGTGATGGCTTTAAAGATCCTTTTCTTTACTCTGCTTTCTTTCCTTGGCCCTTTCCGGGTGGGCAGTGCCACAGAGGGGTGGGTTTGGGTGTGGGGAGCTGATGTGGTCACTCAGTGGACACAGGAACACACGGAATTCTCTTTAAGGAAGTGTGGACTGAAGAGTTTGGGCTCAGGCCCCTTCAGAGAAAAAAGCAGTGCCCCAGCAAACCCCAAAAAGCAGATGATGGTCAAAGCCCACCCTCCTCGCTCGGCCCAGCCCCCCCTGGCAGTGCCCAGGTAGGTGTTTGTCCCTGCCCTCTGTGCCCTGAGCTGAGCAGGCACAGCCAACAGCTGCTCCCTCAGGTTTAAACACCCTGAACTGGACTTTTCCCAAGACCCACCCTTTGCTTTCCCAGCTCTGAGGGGGGAAAAAAACCTCTCTGAAAGTATTGTATCAGTGGTGAGGTTCTTGTGCCTGCAAAGCTGTGCCTCTGAGTGACATTCCTGTGCCTGTGGATGTGGAATGACATCACTGCCAGGGCTGGAGCTGGTTCCCAGTGGGGCTGGAATGTTCTCCTGCTGAGGCATTTAAAGGATTTTGGATCAGCAAGTGAGGCAGCTCCTCCCTGAGAGTGAAGTGGGGCCTCTCCCTGTTCCTGAGCTCAGCAGGGAAGGAGCTTCCCCTTGTCCTGGGGGGCAAATCCCAGCTGGGAGAGGTGTCCTCCCACCTGTGTGGGGGCTCCAGACCCACTGCAGGGACATGTGTGGAGCCAGGGGGCCTCCGAGGGGCTTGTCCAGCCCCACTCTGAGGGGCATGAAAAATGATCCCTGCTGAAAACTTCCCTTGCTGTGGGAAATCAAGAGGTTTTTTTTCCATTTCTTCCCCAATTTTCACCCCATTTCTTCCTGTTTTTCCTATTTCCTCCCAGTTTTTCCTGTTTTCACCCCACTTTTCCCTTTGTTTTTTCCCCCATTTCACCCTGCTTTTTTCTCAGTTTTTTCCCCATTTCCCCTCTGCTTTTTCCCATTTTTTGTCAATTTGTCCCATTTCCCCCCCATTTTCACCTAGTTTTTCCCCTTTCACCCCCTTTGACCCCAATTTTTCCCATTTCCCCCTGTTTTCCCCCCATACCAGGCCCAGCAGGACTGGCAAGTTCTGGCCACGTGTCCCCACAGACTCATTTTACACCATTTTACACCAATTTTAACGCTGTTTTTCCCATTTTTTCCCACTTCTGCCCCATTTTCTCCCATTTTCACCCTGTTTCCCCCCATTTTCTCCCTTTTTCACTGCATTTTCCTTTGAGCTGGGCGTTCTTCCAGGATGTCCCACCTTTCAGGAAAAGGCACCAGGTAAGCCCACAGGGGGTTCACAACCCTCCTTTTTGGGGTTAATTGGGGCTGATTCCTGATTTTTCCTTCCAGGAATGCCAGCAGTGCCAAGAGGAAGCACCAGCCCAACCCCACGGCCCTGGCACAGCCCCTGGATTTGGGACACGGGCAGGAGGCCCCGGAGCAGAGGAGGATGTGCAGCCTGGCCCCCAGGAACTGTTGGGTGTCACCCAAGGGACTCTCTTTCCCTCACCCCCAGAATTCCCAGAACTCCCAGGAGGCCACGCCCGCCAGGAAGCGCCGGCACCGGCGCAGGAAACACGTGAGGCCGGAGCAGGGAATGTCCTGACAGCACCCAGGGAATGCCGTGCTCCCAGGGAATGCCGTGCTCCCAGGGGATGCCGTGCTCCCAGGGAATGCTGTGCTCCCAGGGAATGCTGTGCTCCCAGGGGATGCCGTGCTCCGGGACAGCCCTTCCATGGGCTCATCTCTGCCCCGGGGGAGCGCCGGGATGGGGCTGGAACGGCTGGAATGAGGGGCTGGAACTGCCAGGAGCTGCCAGCCCGGGGGTTGCTCAGCTCAGCAGGGCTCTGGTTTTTAATTTTTCTCTCTTTCCTCAACCTCCCCCCACACCGATGATTTTATGGATCTCACGGGAATTTTCTACTCTTACACCGTAACTCCGCTCCCAGAGGGATGTGAGGAATAAACAAAGCTGGGAGAATCCTAAAGGAACACCCCTTAACCTTCAACAGAAAGAGCTTTTCTTGGTTTCCTCGATATAGGACAAGAAATAGGATTTGGCCTGAAAATATAGGATTTTTTTTCCCCTCCTTTTCACTCATTTTTGCTGAAGTAAAATCTCTGCAGTGTGTAAAACCTGTGTGGAGCTGTGATTTCCCCCTGGGTGGACCTGAGGAGCCTGGAAGGCTGAGCCCGACTGGACTCGGGGTTGTTGGGCCCGTTTTGGGGTGAGAAGGGCCAGTTTTGGGGTGGGAAAGGGGGTTTTGGGGTCAGAAGGGCGGTTTTGAGAGTGGGAACGGCTGGTTTTGGGGTGAGAAGGGCAGTTTTGGGGTGGGGACGGCCAGTTTTGGGGCGGGAATGGCTGATTTTGGGGGCAGAAGGGCTGGTTTTAGAGTGGGAATGGCCAGTTTTGGGATCAGAAGGGCCGGTTTTGTAGGCTGGGAGGGGGTTTTGGGGTGAGAAGGGCAGTTTTGGGGGAAAAAGGGCCGGATTTGGGGCAAGAAGGGCCGGATTTGGGGTGAGAAGGGCGAGTTTTGGGGCGGGAAGGGCCGGTTCTGGGGTGGTCCGGAGCCAAGGGCGCTGCCCCTTTAAGGGTGACGTCATCACGCCCGACGTCCCACTGAGGGCACTGAAGTCGCGGCTCGGCCGGGCGGAAGCGGGCGGTGCGATTGGCGGTGCCCGGATGTGGCGGCGGCGTCGGATTGGTCGGCGGAAGAGAGGCAGTCTGGGCGGGGCGGCGGCGGTCGAGGAAGAACCCGGAAGTGCCGAGGGGAGGCGGTGGCAGGTCCAGGACGGGCCCCGGGGATGGGGAGGGATCCCGGGGATGGGGGAGCGGCCTGAGGGGCTGGGGGAGCGGGACCGGGAGGGCCACCGGTTGTGTGAGGTGGGGTCTGGCATCGAGGGCAGGTCGGGGGGTTTGGCTGGGGGAGGTTTCCTTGGCAATGGGGGTCCACTCGGGAGTCTCTGACTGAGGGGTCTCTCACCTTAGGAAGGAGGATCTTCCCCTTAGGAAACGTGAACTGCTCAGGAAGGGTCCGGCTGGGGGATCCTTCCCCTTAGAAAGGGGGATTTTCCCCTAGGGAAGGGGGATCCACTGAGGAATCTGGTCAGGGGGCTCCGGCTGTGGGATCTTTTCCTTAAGAAGGGGCTCTGTGGGATCTTCCCCTTTGGAAGGGGGATCTTTACCTTAAGTCCCCCCTGCCTTAGGAAGGAGGATCTGGTCAGGGCTGAAGGATGTTTTCTTAGGAAGGAGGATCCATTCAGGAATCTCTGGCTGTGGGATCCTTCACCTTGGGAAGTGGTATCTTTCCACCTAGAGTGGGGGATCCGTCAGGGCTGTGGGATCTTTCTCCTTTGGAAGAGAGATCTTTCCCTTAAGAAGGAGAATACACTTGAGAGTCTCTGGCTGTGGGATCTCTCACCTCAGGAAGGAGGATCCTTTCCCTTAGGAAGGGTGAACTGGTCAGGAGGGGTTTGGCTGTGGGATCTCTCCCCTTGGGAAGGGGGATCCGGTCAGGGGCTCTGGCTGTGGGTGTGTTTCTCCTTAGGAAGGGGGAGTCTTTCCCTTGGGAAGGGGAATTTGGTCAGGAGTTCTCTTCCCAAAGAAGGGAATCCTTTGGCTGTAGGATCCTTCCCCTTAGGAAAGGGGATCTTCCCCTTGGGAAGGGCTCTGGCTGGAGGATCCTTCCCCTCAGGAGGGAGGACATGGTCAGGAGGGGTCTGGCTGGAGGATCTTATCCTTGATAAGGGGGATGTCTCCCTCTCTCCTGGTGGGCTGGGAAGGGGCTGGAGTTTGGGGCTTGCAGTTTGGGAGGGTTGGTTTGGGCACTTTATTTTGGAGGGGGGTCTGTGGGATCAGAGGGGGGCTCTGCTCTGGGGACACTGGGAATTATGGGGTGAGTGAGGTCTGTTCTCCCTTGGGAAAAACTATGGGATTTGGTGTGTGGGAGGATTATTTTGGGGAGGGATCAGAGCTCTGCTTGAGGAAGGGGGACAGCTGAACCCCCAGCAGAAGCATCAGTTCTGGGGGGGAAGCTGAAGCCCCCCCTGAGCTGAGCTGTCTCTTCCCAGAGAAGCCAAATCCCACAGGGAAAGGGGCTTGTGGGGGCTGGGAAACATGGGAAAAAGGGGCTCCTGTTCCAGGATAACCCCAGGAGGGCCTGTCCTCCTCCACCAGGTTCAGCTGGGGCCTTTTCCTCCTTCGGGAAGGAGCCACAGTCCACCCTGGCACTGTGGAATTGCCGGAAGGCTTGGGAGGTGCTCTGGGATTCCACAGGGAGTTTAACCCTTGTGTGGCTCCAGAGTGGCTTTTCCAAGGAAAACCTGCTCCTGGTGGAGCAGGAGGAGCGTTGTGGAGGTTCCTGGGCTCGGTCTGGGCCCTTCCTCCCCATGGAATCCATCGGCTCCTGCCGTGGGTGGGGAGGGTTTGTTGGGAAGCAGCCCCGTGGATCAGATTGTGGAGCATTCCTGGGATCATGGGAGTGCCTCTCACAGCACTGGGAGAGAGGGACTGAGAGTTTGGGATGGAGCCTGTTGGGTGAGGAGGGATCTGGGAGGATCCTTTGGCACCCTCCACATCCCATAAGGAAAAGGCTGCAGAGTTGAACCCTCTTGTGGAGCTGCTCCTGGGAAATTCCTCAGCTTTGTGATCCCAAACTGGGCACCAGCACTGGGTTTGTCCTGTGGAGAAACAACTGGGAAGAGCTGCCCTGGGTGGGATTCGGAGGGACCAAACCCAGCAGAGCTTGAAATTAATGTCCAGGGACCAACATGATTATATGTTTCTGTTTATTCACACACACATACACATATATATAATTACATCTTATAATAATTTCATTAGTATATATAACATATTATACATTGTATATTATATTATATATAATATTACTTTTATTAATATACATCATTATATTACAATATATTATATTACCTTATTAATATATTATTATATTATCTTATGATATATTATGTATTTTATATCTATTACATGCTATTAATTTTATATGTACATATATTAAAACACAGCTATATATTATATTAATTTTATTAATACTATATATTATTTATTATATTATAATACATTATCTAGTTATATCTATTATATTAATTTGTGTAATTTTATATAATATATACTTTTATTTATTATATTTTTATAGATAGATAGATAGATATAAAATTATATAAATTAATGCCAGGGACTGAACGTGCAGCTGCTTTGAGGTCATAGAGGTGAATATCCCAGTGCTGTGTCCAAACAGAGCTAGGCTTTTCCCAGATTTCTCCCTCAGGACCTGGCTTGATTTGTGGATTAAATGTTTTTCTGCCAAGTGGGGGTGATTTGTGTCAGGGAAAGACAATCCTAAGGAACGTGGATGAGGCAGCTCAGGACTGGAACAGGAACTGGAATAGGGACTGGAACAGGGACTGGAATAGGAACTGGAACAGGGACTGGAACAGGGACTGGAACTGGAACAGGGACTGGAACAGGGACTGGAACAGGATCCCCGTGATTTAAGCCTGAGCTCCAGGAATGCTTGGACAATGCTCTCAGGGACAGGGTGGGATTATTGGTGTCTCTGTGGGATCGTTGGGGTGTCTGGAATAGTCTGTGCGTCTGTGGGATAGTTGGGGTTTTGGGATTATTGAGATGTCTGTGGGATAGTTGGGGCGTCTGTGGGACTGTTGGGGTGTTTGTGGGATGGTGGGGGTGTCTGGGATAGTCGGGGTGTCTGTAGGATAGTTGGGGTGTCTGTGGGAGTGTTGGGGTGTCTGTGGGAGTGTTCGTGTGTCTGGGATAGTCGGGGTGTCTGGGATTATTGGGGTGTCTGGGAT